TCTCGCCATCCTTGCTTCTAAGGAGCATTCTGGTTGTACTTCTTCCAAGATAGATTTATTCACTCTTTTGGCAGTCGATGGTATAGTCAATATTCTTTACCAATTTCTTCCTTCAGTACCATCGGTTCCTGATCATATGATACCGCCTGAAATGGTTGAACGTCAACCAGTTCTTTTTGGTATAGTGACTCTGTGTATTCCTTCCATCTTCTTTTAATGCTTCCTGCGTTGTTTAATATTTTCCTTATAGAATCCTTCAATATTGCAACTGTTCCTTTCGCTTTAGCTACTTTACGTTCAAGAGCAAGTTTCAGAATCTCTTCTGATATCCATTTTTGTATTTTCTTTCTTTCCTGTCTTTTTAGTGACTTCTTGTTTTTTTATGTATGAAGTCCTTGATGTCATTCCACAACTCATCAGGTCTTCCATCATCAGTGTTCAACGCATCAAATCCATTCTTGAGATGGTCTCTAAATCAGGTGGGATATGCTCAAGGTCATACTTTGTCTCTTGTGGACTTGTTCTAATTTTCTTCAGCTTCGACTTGAACTTTCATATGAGCAATTGATGGTCTGTTCCACAGTCTGGGTAGACAATCATATTATTTATATAGCAATCCTGACTCTTCCTTTTCAACACTGATATCTCAATTCTTTTCTTTTTCCTTAAATTTTATTTTGTTGTTGTTGTCGAGAATACACAGAGCAAAACATAACCAATTCAATAGTTTCTAACTATTTAATGACATTGATTACATTCTTTGAGTTGTGCAACCATTTTCACCCTCCTTTTTGGAGTTGTTCCTCCTCCATGAACATAAATTCACTGCCCCCTAAGGTTCCTATCTAATCTTTCAAGTTGCTATTATCAATTTGATCCCATATAGATAGCTCTTAAAAGAGCATAATGCTTAAGGCAGACATTTTTTACTAGTTAAGCTAAACTATTGCTTGGTTTTAAGAAGACTTCAGAGGATATTTTTGGTTTAAGGTTTAAAGATTATCTCAGGGCAATAGTTTCAGGGGTTCATCCAACTTTCATGGCTCCAGAAAATCTGGAGTCCATGAGAATTTGAAATTCTGTCCTGTATATTTCCCTTTTTGATCAGCATTTTTCTGCAGAGTGATACCTGGACTCTTAATTGTTAGTGGGACCTCCTGACAATGCTAAATCATTGCATTAACAGTAGGCACCTTGTTTTATTCGTACTTAATGTTTATTTGTTATATTAAACTAAGGTAGTTTTGTTTTATCCCCAGCTTTCTAAGAGATAGGAGGAAGGAGTGTTGAGTTCATAATTTTTCAATATTGTTGAAGATGATCACGTTTGTTTTCATTTATAGATGACACACTGAATTATATTAATTGAATACCTTAGTTTGAACCACTCTTGCATCCCTGCAATAAACTCTGATTGTGACATATAGTTCTTGTAACACACTGGTGAATTCAATTTGCTAATGTTTTGTTTAGAATTTTTGTATATAGATTCATGAGATTGGGTAGAGTTTTCTTGGTGTGTGTGTGTACTTATCTCGTCTAGTCTTGAAATCAAAGTTATATTAGCATCATAAAATGAATGGAAAGATTTCCATCTGTTTCTTTGCTCTGTAACAATTTATATAGCTCAGGAATTATCTGTGTCTTGAAAATAAGTTAAAACTCGGCAAAAATCAGAGTCATTTCTCTATGGTCATATATCTATTCAAGTTTTCTATTTCTTATATCAATATTGATAATGGTATTTTTGTTGAAAAATGTACAGTTTCCTAGATAATTGTACATTTCATCTAGGTTTCCAAATTTACCAGTAAAAACCAGGTGATAAGATTCTTCCACAATTTTTTAACCTCCTGGGTATCTGTGCTTATGTTCCTTTTCTCTTTTCTAACGTTTACTTGTGTTTTCTCTCCTTTTTCTTGGATGGAATTGCCAGAGATTGTTTCTTTAATTAATCTTGCCCAAAAAATGGAAATAATTGCTGATATTGTGCTTGTGTAATGCAATTTGAAATTCAAATAAGGATAATTTAAAGAAAATACAAAATAGCATTCTGAAACCAAAATTCCAGATGATTTCCATCAGTCCTGGGAGTGAGGGTGGGTGGAGGTAGAAACTAAACAAAGTTTCTAAATAAACTAATAAAGCTAAATATTTGATCTCTTTCAGGAAGAGGAAGTTGTAGATAATAATTTTTGCAACTGATAAGAAAATATGTTTCAGTATGTTTTCTAAAAATTTAAAAGAGAACTACTAGTAAAATAATAATAGAATGCTGAACTTCAAACAACCAGAGAAAGGAAAGAAAGAAAATAAAATATTGGACTGATCTTGCAAATGAAACACCAGAAGCTTACACAAAGAAGAGACATGATAAATAGATACCATGCAATAAAGCATGATAGCATAAAATCAGATGACTGGTAGAAATAAGCATATAGAAAATAAAATCAAACTCATTAAATTAAAAAGAGTATGATTTCTTAGTAATTTATCAATTAATTTACAAAGTAAAAAGACACCATTTTACATGTATCAACAAGTAGAAATTAGACACCATTTTGGCCAATAAAAATATATGATTAAATAAAAACATTCTCAATGAAATAGTGAATATGTTTTGACAATTAAAGACTGCATTATCTATAGGAAGAAGGAAAGAGACAACCCACTGGGTTACAGGCATCCAATAAGTCATAGCTGAGATTTCAAGAGAGAATAGACTCTAATATATTAATCTTCAGACTGGATGTCAAGTATTCCTAGGATTAGATGACAACTTTCCAAGAGGGACAAGGGCTTTAAGGGAAGCAATTTTCATATCCTCAAATCCATATGTATTCTTTCCTAAAACTGATCTTGCTGACATCAAGATCACTTCCCTTCTAAACTTTCCCTTCTCCAACTTGACAAAAGAAAGGCATATCTTGCACTTGTCCCAAATCCTGCCACATTGCATTTTTCCAAGGTTTAAAAGCCTCTAAAGTGGCAAAAAAAAAAACCATTCAAAATATATGATATCGATGAAGCCTACTTTAACTCAAGCACCAAAATCCAAACTCTATGTCTATTTAAGAAATGAGAACATTGGTAAACTTTTATTTTCTTATGTTTAATAATTATCAAATTTTGTTATTTTTTTGTTGTTGTTTTTAATAAGTTGTGTACTAGAAATCATAAAATCCAGAGAGAAACTTGTTAAAAGAATTTCTCTTCTCTCCCTCTATCTCCCCTCTAGATATATATACAAACACACTCACATTTTTAAGGCATTATAATATATTACATTAGGATTCTGTGGGGAAAGCAAGTTCAAAACACAATTTCAAGGAGAAAAAGGACCTATGTAAAATTTCTGAAGGTCAAAGAAGAGTTTGTCCATGTATTTTTTTAAATTTACAATGGAGAGTATCAAATTACTATGATACTTACATCTCATTGGATATAATTAAAATAGTAATATAACTTTTATTTTTAAATGTCATATATAAACTTTCCAGAAATTAAATATTTTGCAGATAACATAAATGTAAGACAAAAATTAGATATACTTAAATTTACATACCTACTAAAATGGTGAGGGTACACCACTTGGTATTTCCTTTAAGGGATATTGTCAGGTGCCATTGAGTCACTTTCAACTATAGAGAACGTACCCACAACAGAATGAAACACTGCCCTGTCCTGTGCCATCTTCACAATTGTTGCTATGTTTGAGCCCATTGTTGCAGCCACTATGTCAATCTATCTCATTCACAGTCTTCCTCTTTTTCAATGACCTTCTACCTTATCAAGCATGATGTCCTTCTCTAGGGACACCTCCCTCTTGATAATAAGTCCAAAGTACCTAAGATGCAGTGTCACCACCCTCACTTCCAAGGAGCACTCAGGCTGTGCTTCTTCCAAGACAGACTTGCTTGTTCTTCTGGCAGTTTATGGTATTCAATATTCTTCGACAACATCATAATTCAAAGGCATCAACTCCCCTACGGTCTTCCTTATTCACTTTCCAGCTTTCACATGCATATGAGGTGACTGAAAATATCATGGCTTAGGTCAGGCACACTTTAGTCCTCAAGGTGACGTCTTTGCTTTTTAACACTTTAAAGAGGTCTTTGGCGGCAGATTTGCCCAATGCAATGTGTTGTTTGAATTCTTGACTGCTGCTTCCATGGGTGTTGACTATGGATCAAGTAAAATTAAACCCATGACAACTTCAATCTTTTCTCCATTTATCATGTTTCTTATTGTCCAGTTGTAAGGATTTCTGTATTCTTCATGTTGAGATGCAATCCATAGTGAAGGCTGTGGTCTTT